GAGCCGGGCCGTTCCCCAGCCAGCAGGCATTCGCAAGCCCAGCCCAGAGCCACGCCCGCCAGGGATCCGGTCCCCGCCTCGAGAGAGGGACTTTGCAGGGAGCCGGGCTGCGGCTTCGCACACGGAGAATAAGGGAGGAGGAGTCTCCCACAAGCACCTCGGCCCTGGGAACACCAGGGAGCAGCACCGCCGGCAGCGAGACCCGCTTGGCCAGGGGCTGAGCCCCAGGGAGCGGGACGGAGCCCCCAGGCGGTGCTGGCTGTCCGCCCTCTGCGTCTGGAACGCTCGGACTGGCCAGCCCGCTCCTTAGGGGAAGGCCACGGCTTCAGAGGCCAAGTGCTCAGCGCTGCGCAGGCCTGTGGTCACTCCAGGCTGAGCCCAGTGTGGGCATGGCCTCGGCATCGGCCACCCGCTCTGCTATCCGGGTGTAGATACCCGCGGCTGGAAGGGGATGTCCCCAACTATGCAGGGCTCCAGACACCAGATTTATAGCCGCATCCGTATCCGCACAAACGAGCTGCTGATTCCTGCATCAACATCCAGGGAGGCGGATGCTAGGGACGTAAAATCCCGCCTCATCCGTTAAGCGGTTGAACGGGAGCTTTAGCGGGTTAACCGATTAAGCGAGATCCCAGGCTGGGGACCGCTCCAGCCCAGCTGGAACAGCCCCTAGCCTGGTCGCTGGCTCCTGCACGATGGGCCTGGTGGGGCCCCCCCCCGCACCAGGCCACGGGGGAGGGACTGTTCCCAGGCAACCGCTTACCTGGGCACAACCCTAGTGGGAATCTGCCGATCTGCAGGGCTCTGGTTCAAGGAAACCTTAATCCTGCGCCTCCTATTAGGGGGCACATTGCGCTGCCATGTGGGAACCTGGGCCCCAGTGTCCCCAAGTATCAGAGGGGAGCCGAGTTCGAGTGAATCCGCATGAACGACGAGGAGTCTGCGGCACCTTCTAGACTAAGATTTATTGGAGCACGAGCTTTCGTGGGCAAAGACCCCCTTGGGCAGATGCAGCCCTGGGACTTCTCGTCGGAGTGTATCCAAGGAGGCAGGAGCTGGGAGAAAGGGTAGAAACAGCTGCCTCTGGGAAGCCACTGCCCCGCGGAAGTGCTGAGGACTGAACGGCTGCTCCCGGCAACCTGGACACAGGTAACGGGCTCGCCCCGGGGATACACGCGACTCCCTGCGCCTCGCCGTTCCCATCGCGCTCAGCCCTGCAGACCCTGGCGCTGCCGGTCGGCCCCTGGGAATCGCCCCCAGGCTGAACGGGTGAAGAAGCGGTGTCTTCCCTGAGGGGAGCTCAGAGCACCTGCAGATCTACGTCTCCTTGCCCCAGACGGCTCCTGGACGGAGCCTGGCTTGGCCAGTGTCTGGCGCCTGGCGCCCCGGAGCAGGAGGGCGTCCTTCGCAGGAAGCGGCCGTGACAGTGAAACGCGCTGGGTCCTGAGCCTTTTCCGGGGGAGACTGGACAAAGCCCAGCCCCTGCCCCTCCGGTCTCACCATCAGCCACGGGGTCCCACTGGGGCTGTCAACCTCCCCGAGGCGGTGCAGGCCCGAGGGAGGCGCTATTGCTCCCTTCCCTCCCAGGCGAGACAGAGCAGCGGGTTTCGCGCTCTGGGGGACACTGCCGGGCCAGCTCTGGAGGGCGGGGCGCCAGACTTTTCAGTAGCCACGTCTCATTGGGGGGGTGCATCTCGGGAAGCCAGGGCCCCCTTTCCGGGCTCAGTCTGGTCCCGGCCAAATCCAGAAGACCACGAGCGAGCTGCACGCAGGGGGCTGGGCCAGGCACTGCTCGAGGGCAGCCCCACGTGGTAGGCTGTTCTCTTAGCCGGACGATCTTCCAGCTAATCAGTTTCCCCCTTTGGGGGCGGCGCTATTAAAAAGCCAGGGGGCGAGCAGAGACCATTTCCTGTTGTGACAACCTCGTGGCTGGCGGGGACTCTAGCTGGATTTGGGGAGGGGTCAGAAAAGTGTTGCGCGCAGAAAGCTCTGGTGCCAGGAATGACATGGAGGTTCTCGCCACGTGGCTGGTTCGTGAGCTGGAACGTGCGGTGTCCGAGGTGCGCAGCGCCTGCCCGCGGGGCGTACTCCATTTCAGCAGGCAATGACCGACACAAGGACGACTGCAGGCCCTCCACCGGAGAGGCGCGTGTGAAGGACGAGCTACAGATTAGCATCCCCACTTAGGCGGGGGAACGGACGTGTGAGAGGGGGAGCGACGTGTCCCCGGTCGTCAGAGACCAGAACAAAACGGAGTCCCCACGCGGAGCTCTATCACCTAGGCCACACTGCCTCCCAGAACAGAACACGCAAGGCCGTGAGCAACCGCCCCCAAGCAGAAATCCGATCTCTGCAGGCGCCAGCGTCACTACAGGAGCATTTTCTTCCTGCGCCCCCGATCTAAGGCCGTCAAGCCTTTGCAAGGCAGCTCCCTGGCATGTGGTCTGAGCACCAGAGAGCTGCCTGACCAACCCCACGCCGCTGGCTAAGAGAAGGCCTGGTCGGCGCGGTACGGCTAACAGAGCACGCGGCAGGCGGGCACCGGGGCTCTGGAGAGTCCAAGGAGACAGGTCAGGGCAGCAGCTCTAGGCCTCCAGCCCCACTTACATACCACAGACCGATTCACTTAAATCCCCAGCCATGGAGACGGGCTTTCAACCAACGTGCAGCCCACTGGATTTCCTCCCACGGCTCAGCTCCTGCTCCTTGCCAGGGCTGTGGCCAGGGGAGAGGGGAGACGATTTCCTGACTCCTGACATCGGCAGTCCGCTCCTCCCTAGCGGCGCTACCACTGGGCGCTGGCGCCTCACGCGGATCATCGCTGGGGAGGGGCTAACGACACGGAAGCGCCATGGAAATCGGGGCTGGACTCGGTTGCACTCTCGTTCGGGTGGGCGCTCTTCGGCAAGGACAAAGCTGAATCCGGCCCCTCTGCCCCAGGTGCAAGTTCCACGTTCTCGTGTTGCCCTCGCCCCCTGGCCTGCTCGGCGAAGGGAGACCAAACCTGAGACTCCCCGCGGCCTGCGGAGCACCGTCCATGAGTCAGCACCACAGACACACCGAAGAGCAGCTTCCCTGCCGCGTTTGGGTTTCATTATTCAGAGACTGACTTTTCCAACAAAGGATCCACACAGAAAACAAATCGAGCTGCCAGCGAGGGTGGAATTCTGACCGGCTCCATATTATTCATGCAGTACACGCGTCTATCCGAACACAAGCCACATTTACAGGCCCCTGAAGCTCCCCACCCCACTCAGAGTTAGAAAGAGGCCTTTCTTTTTGCTGACACTGGACAAGTCGGTTCCAGGGCCAGGAGAGCCGTTACCCGGCCCAGGGTCTGACGTGGGCCCCAACGGAAAGGGGACCGAGTGCGCGAGTAACGAGAACATCGTCCCGCGGGGCGGATGGATTCGCGCTCACGCGCCTCCACGAACGTTACCGAATGGGAAGTTCACAATTCAGCAGTTCTGGAGAACCAGGGGCCTTCACGATCCTTTCCCTAAATCGCCACGGTGGTGAAAAGACAGCAAGTGGCCCGGAGTTTGGGGCACTTTGCTGGACAGGCAGCGCTGCGTTAAGAGTTTTATTGCTGGGACCCGCGGGCCAAGCAACACAAAGTGCAGTGGCCTGGGCAGGCCAACGTTAGACAGGAAAGCCGAGAGTGGCAGTGTGGTGCTTTCCATGGGCTGGCACAGAGCCCCAAAGAGGAGACATTGGGGAGAGGGCAGTCAGGAAGCCTGGGGTATTTACCTGCATGCTTGTTGCGCCGGTTGTTGATTCTGGGGGTAGACGACCCATTGCCCCGGGGCAGGAAGAGCGCCGCTCCTTTCACAGTGAGGAAGCTTTCGCTGATGCTGCAAGGGAAAGACACACAGTGAGTCGCTTGAAAGGCGAGAAGGCAACATGACAAACAAGGGCCCGACAGGGAAGGCACTTAGAGCCAGACCACTGTGCTGGCGAAGGACAATTCAAAGTTTCTTTCCCCTCTAGAAATACCACAGAGCTCAGAGCACACGTGTAACAGACTCACGCGTGTAGGGCTACTGAGAGCAAGAACACAGAGAAAGCGGGGGCATTCCCCGAAGAGGTGCTTGGACCTGGGAACCCAGATGCCTGGTGGACATTCCCACCTCACAAGCGTGTTGCAATGCTGGAAATCCGTCCTGCACCGGGTCTGGCTACCCCGGGCGCTGCTGGTCAGAGATAGCAGATGCTCCCTAGCAACAGATGTCTTGCTTTTGTAGTTAGCTCAAGGAGCATCAGTCCGTACAGCAGATTAATGAGGCATAAAACTCTATTGTCTGGCGATTCACACGATAATTGGCTCGTGAAGAGACTCAAATACATTAAAAGCAAAGCCATAATGCTGTTACTGAGAGACACCTTTTCATTGGCTTGACTCTGCCCTTAAATCAAGTGACAGGATGAATGAAGCGGACTGCAGACTGAGCAAGCCGGAAACCCTCTTCTGAAAAAGATTTTACACAAAGAAAACCCTACGCAATTTGCTTTTTAAACTGTACTTCTCTTGTAGGGACACACCATTCTTAGCACACCTGAATGTCCTGTCACCCAGAGGTCGGGGTACTTTACTCCACACTGAAAGGGGAAACCCCACACACTACAAAGGAGTAAAGTGAGAAACGACAAGGCCAGAGTCACAGGGAAAGGGACCCAAGAGCCCCTGCACTGGGCACGCCGACAGCCCCGAGTTAGTCCCCCAAGAGACGGACAGCGTCGTTACGCTCCTCTCTCGAGAAAGCCGACAGCTTACCCGCCCCCTCGGGGCTCAAGCAAACGAAAAGGACGTTAAAACAGAGCAGAAACCCTGCCGCATGTTTGAAGGAAATGACAAGTTACGAGAAACAGATAAAAGCTAAACCACGCCATGTCCACACCCTTTGTGCATCCTTCCTTCTCCCAGCAAACCGGCGTCTCAGCAATCCGAGGGACGGAAGCATCCAAGCCCAGACGTACAGGTGAGCACACGCCTCCGCCCCTCTGAAGAGAAAGGCTTTGTGGAGAATTCAGTCATCGCCCACTGCCAGGGGTCAGTAGGCCCAGCGGGGCCTTGATGCTGGCTATCCTGCCTGCTCTGGAGGGGAAGTGTCACCTTTTGGTCTCTGCTCTGGCTCCCCACGCGTCCACGAGAAAAGTGCATTACCTCTGCCCTCAAAGGGCGCCCAAGAAGGGAACTCTTGCGAGAACCCCTTTTCTTCCTAGCAACATCTCAGGGGAGCCTCCGAGCCCCCACCCCACAGACTCCCCCCGAGGCCTTTTCCTTTTTGCCGGTAACTCGCCAGCCCTGCAGTGTGCTGGGCCAACAAACTGGAATTTTCAGAGGAGCAAAAATTCCTCCTAGATCAAACAGCATCAAGACTTGTTATTGTGCTACATTAAAGATGCATCACCAGGCATGTGGAACAGATGTTCCCTCATGAGAAACCAGTCCCTCCGAGCCTCCCAGGGCAAGAATTTTAGCCAACAGCTCTTCCCCTGACACCATGGGACAACAACCGTGTCCTCAAAGCCTTTAGGCGACACGGGCCCTTGAAGTGCACGTTGGACGGAACGGAACGTTTTCCTGGCATGCTGAAGCCACGTACTCTGCAGAGCCCTCCTGCCAGTCCCCACCTCGTCTTCCCAGCGTCTGTATTGGCTCGATGCTTTGCCCAGCCTGTTCCTGAGCTTACCACGGGAGGAACAGGTTGCTGGACAAGGTGTCTGACCCACCGGCTGGAGATCGCAGGGATGCAGCCCAGCTCTCTGCTCTGCTGAGCCACTCCCTCACAAGACGACAGGGGAGCAAAAGCTAGTGACCCAGGGGAACGGGCACAGCCAGCCAGCCGTGCTCTCTGCATCCCGCTCAGCACTGCTCCACCCGCGCCCGGGGCCCCGGAAGGCTGACACCACCACGGGGGTCCTACCATGCACAGCCATGCACAGCACCTTCCGGCCCGTTGGGCGCAGTCCCCCTGCACCGTGCGGGTTTCACAGGGGAGACCAGCGTTTCTCCAGCGGGAGGGGCTGACTCAAAAGGGAGCTGCTGGCCCCAGGCCACGAAGAGGGCCACGGTATTGCCACTGTTATTTCTGCACTGCCTTCCGAACTGGGCAAGTGGAGAGCTACCGCTGGCCACGTGCCCTGCCCTGGAGGCAGCGCCCTGCCAGCAGCAGGGCAGAAACAAGGGTGGCAATACCAGACCCATGTCGCCTGGCTGCTGCTTTCAGAGCTGGGCTCCCGGCCAGCAGCTGTGCGGGAGCGAGAGCAGCAGTTCCACAAGCCCCGTTCAACGACCTTGTGACCCCTCCCCACACCTCCTTGTTGGGTCAGGACCCCAATGATTACAACGCTGTGACATTTTGGATTTAACTGGCTGAAATAATGTCCCAGTTTTTAGAATCCTATGACCGCGAAACCGTCCACAACGGACCACGGATCCGGTCAGGCCCTAAACATGACCATTTCTGAAGATATTTTAGGGGATTAAAATGAACATGCACGGAGGGCTGGGCAGCTCAAAGACGGAATTAAAATCCATTGGCGGACGTCGCTCAGGCACATCGGTATTAGTCTTCCAGGGAGGAGAAAGTTCTGTGCTCACATTCTCCCGCTTTTAGACGTTCTAAGGCCCCAACCTGGACAGCATGAACAGGGATGCGCAGGGGGAGAAGGGAGGCTGATCTGTATCGCTGCGGGAGGGGGAGACAGGAACAGAAGGAACAGTTCAGCACGGTTACTTCAGCCAGTACAAAAATGTTTTCTGGTTTTTCTAGTTCTCACTCCCTGGCACTGGCTACCTGAGCCTGCGCTGCAGATCTCCAGGGGTGGGGATCAGATCAGAACTGTCCTGCAGAGGTTTCCCTTGGTGCAGCCAGAGTCAGTGTTTCAGGACCACGACTCACCTGCTACGCCTGCGAGAACGGGAGTGCGGACCAGAGAGACTCTGCGAGCGCCCAGGGGAGACACGCGTGCCTCGGAAGGAGTCTCTTCCCCAGTCCCAGAGGCGGAAAGCACGTTTTTAGGAATGTGGAAAAACGGATCAGGCATGTGCAGCAGGACGATCAAGTAACCAGAACCAAGCAGCTGACAGCAGAGACGGCTACAACCCCCAGCCAGTGGGCACTTATACAATCAGCACAGGAGCAGGGGGCTGGGGAGAGGCAGGGAGTGACCAGCACACGTGGGGACAGACGCAAGGGTGAGTGGGGAAGGCCGCAATCAGAACGCCCTCCCCCTACCTGCTGTTTGAAGAGAAGGCCTTGTGCTCGGCAGCTGCCAACCGAGCCGCGGGAGGGTCTGGTTGCCCTGGCATTCGTTTTGAATTACGGTCAGAGTAGCTCTCCCCATTGCCTGCCTGTGCTGGGGCGGGGAGAGGAACAGGCGCACGCTGGCAAAGCTCGCAAACACATCGGCTACGTTGGCTGCCCTGCGCTTCGCCCTTCCTTGGCCGCAGGAGCAAAGTCATTGACATTTCAACGAGGGCGTGCCCCAGCCTCCCCGGCTGCTGTGCCGTCACAATGCCACGTGCGTGACATCACAGTGGAGCGCAGGGCGAGGAGGGTGCTCCGGATCCAAGCAGCGAGAAGCTGTTGGGTGTGAACAGGAAAGTGCCCTTCCCAAAGGACATTCACAGCCAATCATCTGGCCTCAGTCTCTTAGGTGGGCCCTCCCTCGAGAGTATAAGGGAGGCTTCTGATTTGCCACCCTGGGTAGGGACGCAAGCGACTAGGCGACTATCCAGTAAGCAAAAGCTCAATTGGATAGTCGACTCGTCCCTCGACTCATCGTTCCCGCCCCTTTGCTGCCTCCATCAGAGGCAGTGCGGAGAGACAGCTTGAAAGCTGGTTCCCCCCAGCAGGGGGATAGTGGGGACCGGGCGCGAGCCAGGAATCAGCTGATACCCAGCTCACGCCCGGTCCCATACACTGCGCCCTGCTGGCTCAGCGAGGGGGACCCGGTGCAAGCCAGGACAGCTGATTCCTGGCTCGCGTTGTGTTCCCCCCTCCCACACACACTGTGCTTTAGCCTTTCAATGTATTAAGAGCTGGCAGGGTCCCCCTGCTGCGCACCAGCCTTTTGAATACATTTAAATGGGAGGCTGGGAGCTAATCCTGCTGCAGCTCCCCCGCTTATCGACTAGTCGATTACATTTAAACATCCCTAGCCCTGTGTACGCCTGCTGACGGCAGAGTGCTCCTGGGCAGGCTCCCATCTGTTCTGCCTGATGGTCACTTTCACTTCCACTGCAGAGTTTACACCCGGCCCAGCGCTCTCCCCGTAAGATACAAGGCTCAGGCCACAGACCCCTCAAGCCTCGGGTACGTGGCAAGAGGATGCCGTGTGTGAGCATGAACATAAGGGGAAGGGTGGTGTGGCGGGAATGCTGAAATGCAGAACGGAGCACAGAGGAATTCTTCCACTGAATTGGATGGGCCTTCTGGTGCCGTGCGGATAACCCTGGATCCCCGCGTGCACCACCCGGAACAGAACACACTTGTACGTGTTTCTGAAGATCCAGTTCACGGACACGTCCTAGACCGAAGTCACGGCTGTGGAGAGCTCTCTGCTGACAAAGGCTGACTCCCAGCAGACCAAGCGCACGGCTAGTGGGGACGGAGCGCAGGACTGGACTGGACCGTGGCTACGTGCTGCCTGGCCACAGCTCCTCTGCAAACGATGTGGTTTCTTCCCCAGAGAAGTCAGACAGGTGGGCAGGTTAGCAGTTTCCATGGGACGAAGGCTTGCCGGGCAAGGTCTAGCCACTCGGGAGAAAATGGGAGTGAGCGTTCCGTGTCTTGCTGGGTTAAACGAGGTTGCTGAAATTGAGAGTCGCTCCAGGCTGGCAGGGTTTGGATTGGGCGTTCCCAGGGGACCGCCAGTTACAGAACCAAGTTCAGCGCTATTCCCGTCTAATGTTCTGGAAAGAGACTTTTCATAGGCGCCCTCCGTCCTCATGCGCTCAGGACCCAGCACGGCTGGCAGGAAGCTAGCTGTCCCGCCCACTGAGGGGACGCATCCCGAGGCTACTCAGACACCCCGCGCTGGGTGCTATGTATTTACGCCTCGGCCCTGTCAATCCACCCAAAGGCGGGGGACTCCCAACAGCGAGCGCGTGGGCGAGGGACAGCGCCTCCGTGAGAACCCCTCGGGGTCGCCGGGAGGAAGGCAAAAAATCCAGCCTGCCTCAGCCCCAACAGAGCAGCTGCCGGCCAGCGGCCTGGCACCGACCAGAGCAGCCCGGCTGGGGGACAGGCAGAGCCACTCGGGAAGCCAGGTGCGGCCGGCAGGAGGCGGAGGGAGGAGTCGCCGGAGCCAAGCCTTTGTGGCTGGCGGGGCTCAGTCAGGAAGGGGGCCGGGGGGAGGGCACTTTAAGCAGGGCAGGTCCTTTTCCAGAAAGGAGATTCCCGAGATTCGGTATTTGAGAGCCCCCCGCAGCGCACAGCAAAGCGCCCCGGACAACGGCGGCGGGGGCTCTGCCGAGACGGGCCGGAGCCCCTCCCAACCCGGAGAGCAACCGCCCGGCCAGCCAAGAGGCGGCCCGATTTCTGTGCCAAGGCGGGGGCGGCGGGTCACCCTGACAACGCAGCTCTGCTGTAGCCATGGAGCCGGCACGCTGCAGAGGCTGCCCTAAGGGCCGGCTCCTGGGACGCCGCGCGGCCAGGCGGGAGTCCGGAGTGGGGCCAACGAGCTGCCCCCGGGCACACACAGCCCTGCCCCGAGGAGCTGTCTGCACAAGGCGGCGCCAGGCCTCTGGAAGAGACGTCCAGGTGCCCCGAGTCCCGCGACCAGCCCACGCCCCCCTCTCAGGGCAGCCGGTCGGGGGGGCGCATCTGAGACCGGACACGCTGCTCCTCCACGGTCCCTCAGGGCCTGGACAGATCGGTCCAGTCCTAACGCTCAGGCTGCTTTCCTCGACAGCAGCGTGGGCACCCGGGCCCAAGGCAGGGACTTGCACGCCGCTGGAGGCCAGTGCTGAGCCCCCGCCGGCACGGCACTAGAAAGGCAGGGCCGGGGGACCGCAGCGGCCGAGGCGGTGTGGGGTGCAGAGGAAATGCAAAGCGTGCCAAGAGGAAGCAGGCCCCCCAGCCGCGTTTCTCCCCGTCTTGGTTCCCGCACGGGAAGGGACGAGCCGCTGTTCGTGTTGCTTTCATCACCAAGCGTTGCCACCGCCGCGGCCCCAGGCCATGCCAGCCCATGCAAAGGGCATTTCATCACCCACCCCAGCAGGAAGAGGAAACCGGGGTGGCAGCAACATCTGTGGTGTACAGAGCATGAGCCCCGCTGCGGAGGCCTGGCAGTTCCCACGGGGCCCTTCTGCAGAGCCTCAGAGGGACAAAGGGCACCGCAACGGTGCACGGATGGCGGGCTGCACCCAGACCCACGGGCCACTGCTCTCCACATGCCTCCACAGCCCAGCACAGAAGCCACGAACACGGCCAGCTGGGCATTTATCCGACCACCCGGGGGAGGGAGGGAAGGGCTATCGCCTTCGCTGGCACGGAGACCTGCAGCGCAGGGCGTAAGTGACATGACCAAGGGCACTTGGGATCCACGTGCAGGGAGCTGGGAGCCAAAGCCACTTCCCAGGAGTCCCAGGCTTGGGATCCATGTGCAGGGAGCCAAAGCCACTTCCCAGGAGTCCCAGGACCGAGACTGAATAAGAAACAGATGCGGACGCTCTGGAAGCAACTGCACAAGGTTGGGAGATTCCAAGCACTGGGCCTCCCGTCTGATGTGTGTCAGGACAAAGCCATTTGCGACCCATTTCCATCCCGCCTGTCTTGAAGCATCAGGTTCTGGTCACCCCCCCAGGAAAGCAACTGCACTCGTGAGTCGTTTGTGCAACTATTCGGGCCTTCCACTTGGCGTTTTGCTTGCAGCTGCTTGTTGCAGGCACGAGGGCTTTCCACGCAAACTGCCTGGCTCCTCGCGCTGCCGAATACAGGGGAACACTGGGAGGCCCATAGACAAGTGCTGATTAAAACTCACTGACTGAGGCTGGCATGCCAGCAAGGTGGAACCACCTGAGACTAGAAACCGTGCCAAGGCAGCCCGGCGAGGCTGGCTGACAACAAGCGTCTGTGTGCCCAGGCCTCTCCAGGTGCAGGAGCAGATGCCAAGCCGAGTGCTGTGCAGCAGGCAGGCTGTGGCTTACGGAAAGGGCACCGCGCCGTCTCTGGGGAAGTGATGCTCAGGCCGAAGGGAGAACAGGGAAGTGGCATTCGGACAGAAGTCAGACACATGCCACTCAGCTCTTCTGCAACTTGAGAAACCGCAGGGGGAAGCAGGCCAGCGTGGGAACCAAGTGCCGGCTCAGACGCGTGACGCAAGCGGCATTTTTAGCAACATCTGCACTCGCACAGCGCTTGAGCACAAAGGAGCTGTCAACAGGCATTTCCGCTGCTGGGAGGGGGGATGAAACAAGCACTCGCCTTACACTCCAGCACTGTAGCCCCGGTGGAACAGCTTCTCCTGCCCGCCTCTCTCCCTCCGTCACGCCCGTCTCCCGCGACCGCGTCCTTACGTGGAGCCGCTGCTAGAAGTGCTGCTCGTGAGCCGCATGGCACTCGGGGAGGAGCGCGCTGCGAGCACCGGAACGGATAGGGAGGGCTCTGCCCACCCCGGACAGGCAAAGCGACTGGCCCAAGATCACCCAGCAAGTCCGTGGCAGAGCCCCCGTTCCCAGGCCTGGCCTGACAGCTCATTCTCAGCCACCTCTTGGGCCCACAGCTGGGG